GTACCTTGCACTGAATAACAAGGGGAGTACCGGTACCTTGCACTAAATAACAAGGGGAGTACCGGCACCTGGCACTGAATAACAAGGGGAGTACCGGCACCTGGCACTGAATAACAAGGGGAGTACCGGCACCTGGCACTGAATAACAAGGGGAGTACCGGCACCTGTTTTTCCCCACTTCAAACACTGGTGAAAGCCCATCCATCTATTCATCCATCCATAATTCATTCAGTGTTTATCCAGTGCAGGCATGTTGGGGGGGCTATAGCACAAAGCATACAGCACAAGGCAGGTGACACACTTAGCAGGATGTTAATACTTGTCAGTGACCAAAGAACTGACCCCCCTGGCCAGTAGCTGTTTTACTGGCCCTTTAAATATTTTTACTGGCAAGGCTAAATAAACAAACAAACAAAGATTACATTTTTCCATAAAATTGATAATTTATTAATTATGTACAGTGCCCTCCACAATTATTGGCACCCGCTGTAAAGATTTGTTAGAAAAAAATCCACCTTTTGGTAAAGCAGCTTCATGTCACACTGAAAAAATGAGTAAAATCCAACCTTTCATTGAAATATATGTATTCCAAGAAAAAAAAAAAAACAAGAAATTTTCATTAAGAAATAATTATTTTTAACAAAAACACATGTGCCACGATTATTGGCACCACTGCTTTTAATACTTTGTACAACTTCCCTTTGCCAGTATAACAGCACTGAATCTTTATATATCCGTAAAGAGCCGGTGTGTATGCAGGTTTTTGGGATAACCTGTAGGTCAGCTGTTCAAACCCAGGTGTGAGGACTCTTTCAGCCAATCAGTCCTCTAATTAGGGAGCTGCAGCGAAAACCCGCATATACAGCGGCCCTTTGCGGATAAGATTGGCCACCCCTGTCCTATAACATTTTATAAGGTTGGACAATACCAAGCAGGGCATCTGAGACCATTCCTCTTTACAGAAGCTCTCCAGATCACCCAGGGTCCTAGGCCCTCTTTTCAGCACTCTGCTCCTCAGCTCAGCCCACAGGTTTTCAGTGGGGTTTAGGTCAGGGGACTGAGATAACCAATGACGTAGAACATGCTTACTTAATCTATTAACCAGAAAATAAATGTTATTTACATAGTGAACCCATGTTCGTTTGGTTCATCATTAATCAATCGAAGGGTTCATGCAGGTACCATATTTGTTCATGATGTCACCTTGATTGGTAACTGAGTTACTAAGTTATTTGTGTCCCCTCGAATTGTTTTAACCAGATGTTTTCTTTGATTGGACCTACACCAGTCACAAGCTTGTGAAAAAGGAAACCACACTCACTCAAATACTTTCCTTAATCTGATTATAAAATGTGTCATGAAAATTCAGGTTACTGAAGGAATCTGTTCATTCAAATGCATATAAACAAATTCAAAATGATTATTACTTTCATCTGCTTATTCTGTGCATGTAAACGTAGCACATGGGTAAACCGTACTTGCAGGTGGCAAAGGAGATATTAAGTAAAAGGCAACCATTGCCAGAGAAACACAATATATTCACAATACAGCAGTAATGCAGAGTACCAAGCATGTCGGTGACAGCCCAAACTGCTCTTCTTCTGCAGAATGAACATGAGGATTGAATATCGGATCACATGTCATTATGGATAAAAACAAAAGCAGCCAAGTGTCATAAAGCACTAATGGATATGGAGAGTATGGTTCTGTAATTCCTTATTTTGTATTTGCAGTGCAACGAACACAAAACTTTAAGCAGTATCATAAATTGCCTAGCTAGCTAGTGCAGCTACACTACAGCATAGCTTGGCTACAGAAAGAGGCTTGATTGCTAGCTGGCTGGCTGACCACCGAATCCATGTCAGGAGGGACACTTTGAGCTACTTCAGATTTTACAAACCACTTTAAAAAGGCTCCTGGGCTTGGCTAAACTGTTTGGTTCGTCTTGTCCTTTGACTTGGTTCACATTAACATTAGTGACACATACTTGATTATAGGAGACTGACCAATCAGCACATAGCAAGAACTCAGTGCTTAAGTGAAAATGGTTGAAATGGTAGTTCACACACCCTGTCGTAACTCATACTATCCCTCCTGAGATGGATTAGATGGTCACCCTAACATTATATGACACAGTCGCGCTTTGTGCTTACCGTCATTTATAAGCAAAGTTACACTAACACATACTAGCTAGCTGAGTTACTTACCTTCGACAATCAACATGCTACATTGTGCCTGTGATTGGCAGAAACACCATCACTGGCCAAACGGGCCAGTGACTGGCCAGTGATTGGCCAAACGGGCCAGTGACTGGCCAGTGATTGGCCAAACGGGCCAGTGACTGGCCAATCAACTTGCCCAACATATGTTTTTTACTGGATTGAGGCCATCAGGCCACCACTTATGTTGCACCCTGCTTATGAAAACTGGTCTGTGAAAATGGACTAAGTGTATTATACTCACATGCTCATTGGTGAGCGGCAGGGCCTCCATCAGGTCCACCCCCTCACCATACAGCTGGATGACGGAGAAGATGTCATGCTCTTTTACTGCTCTGCACAGGGCATGCAGCCTGGATGCTGTGTCGGGGTACTTCCTGCGCACAAAAGCCTTCTCTGTGTACTTGGCTGTGATGTAGTCCTTCCGCATCTGCCTGTTAGAGAGAATACAGACACGTTATACTGATCACAGATGCTGGAAGCCAGAACATATGACACATACACAATCAGGGGTGCACACGCATGTACAAACAAGATCAAAAAAGTATTACAAGGAGATTGCCAAAGTAAGGGGTCTTTTAGCGATTGTAAATGTCTGTGTAGGACATCTACTATAACAGATTTAGCCTAAGTGTCAGGGGGAGCAGCAATCAGACAAAAAGCTTCACAGACCATTTAATAGATGTAACGAGTGTGAGAGCAAATACGTATTGTCCAAATTTAGGGCGTCTCCAGAGCAAATAACCAAGAACTTAAAGCATGTGTACTGTGGTGAATTACAGATAGGACTTTGGCTCATTCATAGGAAACATCAGAAAAACCTCTCAATCATTCAATTCAGGTGTTTCATTCAGGCCCATTGCCACAGGTATATAAAATCAAGCACATAGCCATGCAGTCGGGTTTATAAACATGTGTGAAAGAATGGGTCATTGTGAAGAGCTCAGTGAATTCAAGCGTGGTACCGTCATAGGATGTCACCTTTGCAATAAGTCAGTTTGTGAGATTTCTTCTCTGTTAGATATTCCACAGTCAGCTGTAAGTGGTATTATTGCAAAGTGGAAGCATTTAGGAACAACAGAAACTGCCATAAAGCGGCAGACCATGTAATTAGCACACTTAAACTACCAGTATTTTTGCCGAGCGCTGAGGTTCATAGTGTGTAAAAGTCACCAACACTCTTGACTTAACTGCAGAGATCTAAAGTTCCTCTGGTATTACTCCCAGCACAAATATTGTGCACTGAAAGCTTCATGGAATGGGCTTACTTGGCCGAGCAGTTGCACGCAAGCCCCACATCATCAAGTGCTATGGCAAACGTTGGATAGAGTGGTGTAAAGCACACTGCCACTGGACTCTGGAGCAGTGGAAACATGTTCTTCAGAGTGACAAATCACGCTTCTCTGTCAGGCAGTCTGGTGGACGAGTCTGGGTTTGGCAGATGCCAGGAGAACATTTTGCTAACTGTAAAGTTTGGTGGAGGAGGGATAATGGTATGGGGGTGTTTCTCAGGGGCTGGGCTAGGCCCCTTAGTTCCAGTGAGGGGAAGTTTTAATGCTTCAGCAAACCAAAACATTTTGAACAATTATATGCTTCCTTCTTTGTCAGAACAGTTTGGGGAAGGTCATTTTCTGTTCCAGAATAACTGTGTCCCAGTGCACTAAGCAAAGTCCATAAAGACATGGTTGGGTGAGTTTGGTGTGGATGAACTTGACTGGCCCACAAAGAGCCCTGATCTCAACCTTATCGAACACTTTTGGGATGAACTAGAACGGAGATCGTGAGCCAGACCTTCGCATCCAACATCAGTGCCTGACCTCACAAATGCTCTTCTGGATGAATGGGCAAAAATTCCCACAGACACACTCCAAAATCTTGTGGAAAGTCTTCTCAGAAGAGTGGCAGCAATTATAGCTGCAAAGGCGGGAGCAACTCCATATTGATGCCTATGGATTTAGAATGGGGTTTCATAATAGTTCCTGTGGATATAATGGCCAGATGTCCCAGTACTTTTGTCCATATAGTATAAGTGTAGGATTTATGGGTTGGAGACTAGGGCTATTTCCCATTTTCCCCACTTAGTCCACACTTACGCACTACCACACTTGGTGTATGCATTCATTCATTCATTCATTCATTCATTCAAGTATTCGACAACTAACACAAATGACACCACAGTTGTTGCGTATCTCTTGTTAACCTCTTCAGATATCAAGTGTGTCTCGTTTGTTTCAAGAACTTGCCATGCACTTGGGTTCTTCATACACTTGCGTACTTTGAGCCTTATGTAAACATACTTCACCAGAGTATGTAGTATCTCAGTACGCTGGGCCTTAAGTGTGCTGAATGGGATAAAGCCTAGGTCCACAGGAAGCTCAGAGGGAGTGGTACCACGTCCTGTAACTCACATGTCACTGCTGGGATTGGGCTTCAGCACACCTTCTTTTGATGGGCAGGCCTCCATGATCTCATTGAAGCCAAAGTTGCCTACGTTCTTAGCCAGCTGAACATGAGGTGGGGGACACAGAAATAGCAGAATGTCAGGCCTGTTTTAATCGGTAGGATGCTGATTAGACTGCTGTCTGCTTCAGCTAAGTAGGTAACCACAGGAAGTGGAATGAAGTGCAGGAAAAAATGTACGACACCGTGTCCTATATATTTATTTACACTGTAATCAAAAATGTAAATACGTTACTGGATTATGATCCTTCATACCAGGTTCTGTCAGAGACCCTCCCAACTTAAGAACCCTGCCCAAATGGCACTCACCAGAAGTTCAGATGTTCCAAGAACATCCAGTGTGAGGGACTGAATCCTGGAGTAGTGGACACCCAGCTCCCGGTGGATTCCTGAACACTCAATGCATGTCAGGATACCCAGGTTTGTGGAAAGCCATGTGGGATCTGGGACAGAGGCAAAAGAAAAGCAATAACCATGTTTTATGTGCTTCATGTGTAACGTACTGACATTTTTGACTGCACTGTGTTACGTGTTTCAGTTGGCTGTTCAAGACAATAAGGTATGGCTGATTAGCCTAATCACTAGTGCCTTTGTATCACAGTATATAACTTATCAGAAGTCTGACAAACAGGTACTTCAACTATGGCATCCTTATAGTGTGAACACCTCAAAATCAACTGGGACACTGCCAATTTATATGTAGAGTTAAGTCACGTTAAGTTCATGTTCAACGGGCAGTTCTCTGAAATCACCAGCAAGCAGCATGCTAGCTGGTCAGACACATGGATCAGCGAGCAGGGAAGACAGATACACAAGACGCTAAATGGGGCTGAAGCTCAGAAAGATGATCCTCCTAAAGGGCTGGAGAAATTTGCTGGTTATATTTGACTAAGGAAAAAAATAAGCGAATGGTAAATACACAATTAAAATCAATCCAAATGCAAAGGGTGTAGTGACTCCCATCTATTGGACAGAGCAGGGGTAGCCAATCTTATAAACAAAGGGCCGGTGTGTATGCAGGTTTTTGTGTTTATGTTTCTTTTCGGAAAGTTAGAATGTGTTTGTGAGAGAGACAGGCTGCATCATAGTGGACCCTGAGGTGAGGTAATGTTCCCGCAATGAATGGCCTGACATATATTAGTGATGGAATGTCGTAGTTTGTGTATAATTTATATATAAATTATGTATAATTTACATAATGCGGGACATTAGCACACAAACTACCAAATAAGTTAAGATGAATAACAGTAAAAATGGAAAGATAAATTTCACTTTATGCATTGTAACTATAACAGCAATAGTTTACGAATAAAAAAATAACTGTATACAGTGCAACTACAGAATTTTCCTAAAATGCTTGAAAACCTGCTTATTCAGAAGAAGACAAAAAATTTACTCCACTGATGTGTTTTTTATTTTTAATGTGATCTGCCACACCTGCTCCTGGTATTTACCTGAGAACTAGTGTGGCTCATCAGAAGTCAGGTAGGATAGAAAACTTACTGGATAGTAGCCCTCCATGACCGGAGTTGGTGACCCCTGGTTTAATCTATAAGCTTGGTTTGTTCTGAATTCTAAGATGTCTTGGGAAAAGCTAAGTTCACATATCTATACGAATAATTCGTCATAATACATCTGACTAAACATGGTCAATTTAAGACTGATTTTCAATAAATATTGACCTGTTTGGCCCTCAAATTCAACCCAATTTTTAATTTTGGCCACTTCTGTGACTGAGTTTGACCTACAGTGTGTCTCAATGCTAAGCTTTTTTGCAGTTAGCAAGCAGAAGTGCACTAACTAAAATAGTGCATAAAGGAAGAGCTGAGCATGCATCAGTGGATAACTCAGCAAGGCTGGCCAGCTCACAGGCATGAAATGCCCATGCTTGTTCAAAAAGTTAACTTGTTTTGCTTGATGGTATCATCTACAAAGAGCTCTGCATAGTCATATCTCTATCTATGCCTCATCACGTTAGGACATATGCACCGGTTGCACTAAGGGGTGATGAAGAGCACCATCAAAACTGAAACTCAGTAGACACAGGATTCCTGTCACTTTCTGGACAGACAACGGTTCACAATATTCATGTCAAGAATTTCAAGACTTCAGAAAGGGTTATGGTGTTACACACAAAACATCATCACCACACACACACACACACACACTACATTCAATGGCATAGCTGTGATACAAAGCTGTTGAAAACATCTTGCATTACTGGCAGGACTACCGCACTACTCCACAAGAATCAGTTATCCCATCAGTCTTGACACTGAGTGTACGATAAGCCATAGTCAAGCCACTGGCCAAAACATCTGGATCATCCACCGATAGGGAGCCACAGCCCCAAGCTTAACCTAATATCCCTCAGTCAGCATCTGAAGAAACTGCAGCCCCCCCTCCCTCAAACTCATCCTCCCAGTCAGAACATCACCAAACAAGGAAGAGCTGAATATATACAGTACTGTGCAAAAGTCTTAGGCAGGCAAAGAAAATGATGTTTAGATTATCCTCGTGTTGGTGTAAAACTATGATATTATTCCCGTCAAAGTGTGTCAGCGTAGCCATTCCAGAACCTCTGCTAAGTATTTGCAGTGACCGTCCAGTGCAGCCATGTATTCTTTGACTTGGCCACTAGCTCACCTCATACAGCTAGTCAATCTGTCACTGACTTTTTAAACCAATTTATTTAATTATTTAATTGAGCTGTTGGTGAAATTTCACAAAATCATGGAACGGCTGAGGTGCCCCTGAGGAGAGGTTTGGGAACTGAAGCGGTGTTCATCTAGCCATCCAACTAGATATTAGTAGCTTTTTAGAAAACAGAAGAAATTATGACTAGTTTTTATTGTGTTACTCTTAATTTGCACATGTTCTAATGTTAAATTGTGTTTTTTGTTCTAAGCCAAAGTACACTTGCTACCCAGATAAACAGCTTTAAACATTTCTTTGGACTGCCTACGACTTTTTCACAGTACTGTATCTGGTTGAAATCTGAAGCCAGGGACAGGCATGGTAAAGAGGCCTGGTGCAAGTGACATGCTATCAACCTCTATTTGTTAGTTAGTTGAAATTGAAGTTATTTGTTGATGTTGTAAGGCACACTGACTTTGGGTTGGTAATTTTGGTTGGAATTTACAATGACAGGAAATACAACAATAGTTAGTATTGTCCTTTGGGGTGTCCATATTTGGCTGTTCAAGGCAATAAGGTTAGACTGATTAACTTAATCATGTCTTTCTCATTCTGTATCACAATACATCACACCTTGACGGACCCTCACAGACATTAAAGTGCTTCTGCTGTAATTTCTCACATTGCTCAGATCTGTGTTCATGCTAGGTTTGCATTTTGCTTGTTGTGCTTGTGTTAGAAAATGTCAAAGTTCAGGATGTCCTACATGTACTCCCCTTCTCAACTGGCTGGGCTGAGCTAGAAGAAAGAGAGGGAGATCACTGTGGTACCCCGGCCCACAGCCACACGTCACTCACTGGCAGCTCCGCAGTCACAGCAGATGTCGTTCCCTGGCATCCTCATCACCTCGCCCAGGATGGCCTTGGTCAGCTCCTGCACAATGTTATTCTCTCCGACTTCCTGGTCACCTTTGAAGGCAGCATTCAGAGCTTCCTCTTTAGTGTTCTGCAGGACAGAGATCCATCTGCAGAAGGCAAGATGATTAAGGGTCAGTTCAGGGTCAACACCTATTCAAGCAGGAGAATCCTGCTTAGATCTCATCATCTTCATGTAGGCCAGGCCAACCACACAGACAGACATGTGATGCGCATGTACACGGCTCAGACATGCAAAGGCACTTTGTCCAGCTCCTTCTCAGCCCTGCTTACATTTCACACTCCTGCTCTTCCTCTGCCTGAAAGTGATACGTCCGGTCATCTGCATGGGAAGATGAGGAGAGAGGTGAAAACTCCAAACTGCACCTACAGTATATGAGAAAGTTCTCATGTTTTCTAATAAGATCAGTAGACATTTTTAATGCCAAAGAGTTACCTCATATGCTGGTAGGTCATGCACAGTGCCGTACATAAGATAAATAATCAGTGGGGACTGATTTCATTACTGTGAATGGATCTTAGAAACCAGAGGCAAAAATAAATCAGAAGGACTTACGGGATATGAGGTCAAAGCATTTCTTCTCGTCTGGACTGCGCTTCACCTGGCATGTCAGCAGATTAAGCTTTGCTGGTGGTCTGTTCGCCTGGAGGTGATTAATAGAGCGGGGGGTGGTGGTGAAGTGGTGCTTCCAGTTTTTATGTCCTCCATGAAACATGTGGGAATTTCTGAAGTTTACCACATGACAATTTGTGCAAGATGCCTTGAGGAGCGACGCAGCCTGCTTACATACCGTCCCATGCGAAATGGTCAGGAAGCCATTCTTCACGGAACATTTCCTCTTCTGCCATACCTTCCTGATGCTAGACAGGAGAAAACAAGTCTGCATGGCAGATGACATACAGGCGGTGCCGTCTCTAATGTGGCATGTTATCTGGAGAGATGATTGGCCTGATCACCGTTTTACTAACGAAATTAAACAGCGAGCTAATGATGGATACCCTGATACAACTGGCTGATCAGGCCAGCAGTGAGGGGAGGGTCACAGGGGGGTCCTGCACACTCACCCTTCGCTCCTCTTGTAGAGGGTGCCGCTACGCTCCGTACCATGATCCTTGTTGCCCTGCAGCTGGTGCAGGCTGTACCCACAATTCTGCCGTACCTGGGAGTCCTGCCAAGGGCCACTCCGCCCAGAGACTGATGATTAGTTCCAACGCATCCTTCAATTTGCCACACATCTTAAGGAAACAGCACTCTAATCCCTCACCTCCTTCTGCTCCACCTGAAGTGAAGATTTCAGGACGTCACGTAACTGGGAAAGCTCCTTCCTCTCTGCGTCTTGGGCCTGCTTGATCTGGGCATGGGATACGGGCAGGAAACGTTAAACGCAAGTGTGAACTATTCACACACATTTGCAGGTTATCACTTTAACAATATTATCACTGAGGGATTATGAAAACCAAAAGTTCATCATACTGTCGTCAAGTCGGTTGTCAATCTCTCTAATGTAGGTTTAAGGCTGTCGACCACCTTCAGTCCGTCTTGGAAGAAGCTGGAAGTTAAGCACAATTACTTTCACATAAAGGAAACCATGTGACTATGTAAACAGCATCACATGACATGGGAAAACAGATTCTTTGACATACTTGCACTGGGCATGGTAGTATTTAATAAGATTCTGTAGCAAGTCCACTCCCTTTTTGACCTTTATTTCGTTTACTTTGAGGAGATACTAAAAAAAACAAGAGAAATATACATGATTAGGAGTAATATTTTGGGCAGGTAATTCACCAGTCCTGAACATTTCGGCATCCCTATGCTGTCCAGACGCAAGGCTGACGGTCAAAATGATTCCAGACCTCACACATCTGCATCTGAAAATAGCGCCTCTCCTTTTCCATATCCTCGGCAATCTCCCCCCCACTGAGCTCCGATCGGATCAGGCCGTGCTGTCGGGCATGGTCCTTCTTCTCCTTTTCAAGTTTGGTTCTGAATGGGCATACAAGGTCCTCAATAACATAAGCTTCATATTAAACATTAAAAATAGCAATCAGATACGTGTATTTACAGCAGCACGTAAACTCAAAGGAAAATGTCCGGTAAATATTTTTAAACGCTACCAGTGCCTATACAAGACCAGACTCTCCAAACAGGACGTCGGTCAGTCATTCTTAGCCTTGTAGATGATAGATTACTGGCTGTTCCACACACCACTTACACCCTAACCTTCCACTCATTAGAAATATGGTTTCTTTCAGCTTTTGACTTTCTGTTCCCTCCAACCACAACCTCTTTGTGAAACTTGAAGGCAACTTCAACATATTAAATATATAAAAAGGCATCACTCTATCACATATAATAAGTCTGTCAATAAAGCCTGAGGACAAAGAGATATTGTTATATAACGTTACCAAAACCTATGAACTGCACATATCTCAAACAACTTGGCATAAACATGTTGGATGAGTTTCTACCTCCATTCAATCATCAAAGTCCATGCCAATCTTGGAACCACACCACCACCAGCATAGTCATCCCATATATATGTGACCAATATAGTCCAGGCTATGAAACAATGCTGGGGCAAAGGTATGAAGACCAGAAAAACACTTCATGTTGACTGATCTAGTCATAACATTAACCATAAAGTATCTTCTGTGGCACTCTAATTGACGATTGAATGAAAGCACTACGAAGAAGTTGATAGCGTCTTACAGTTTTGTTTCATAATCTTTCCAGGACTTGTCGAAAGGCTTTCTGAGGTCCTGTGAAATAAAGAAAGAACGTATGTCAATATTGTTTTGATTATTTAACTATAGTCCAATAGTTTTGATAAGCGAGTGACACGGGTAGGTGAGTATTTTATGCAGCCCTCCATGACCATGTAGGTCATAGGTCTCCATGGTGGGAGTGTGTCTATAAAGGAAACCATGTTTTGGACATTGAATTATTAACTGTGGTCCTCAAGAGCTACATTTTAGGGAATGATCATCAGCTGAATCACCAAGGCAGATGCATAACTATTTGAATGATTGATCTTAAAATGACAACCTGGGACAAAAAGCAGAAAATCCAGGCCCTCAAGACCCATCTACATTTAAATATTTAGCAGACGCTTTTGTCCAATGCGACGTACATGTCAGGCAAATGGCAAATTGCAAATAAACATGCTGTCAGGGAATCAACTAGGCATAAGTAGAACTGGGCTGAGCTTCCAAAGAATCCCCATTTGCAAGTGTAAGCAGTATTGGAGCAGGAGTTGCAGTTTGGGCTGTAGTGATAACCACAATATTACAATATCACGATACAGCAGGCAATGGCAAGCAACCACCACAACACTTTTTTCACTTTTTTTCTTTTCATGAGGCTAGATCCTTCTAATTTTACACTTAAGTGCTTGTGAATTTAATGTCATGTACATTAGAAATGAAAATGAGTTAAGTGTGTAATACATCCTGCTGACTGTACACATCAGGTGCTGCTGAGTTTCATTCTCCACATAACCTCACTTAATGACAGAGTTCCGTCCCTATGGCTGGTCAGTAAGGAAATTGGTCGATAAGCAAGGAGCCGTCCCTTACCGATATTTCAAACATGCTGTACTGGTAAAGGGTTTGTGTCAACCATCTTTAGATATTGTTTTAATATCACCTTTTCACCATTTATAACATTTTTATATATCACTTTAGTGTACCCTATACTGTAATAAATAAAACACAGAAAAGACTTAGGAGATCTCTTATCTAGCATAGCAAAGTTACATCACGCCGGCTGGTAAGTGCTAACGTTAATCATCAACGGAGTTACAAATAAATGATACGCTAACATATATAGGCATGTATTGCAAATGAGCATCACTTCAATCCAGTGAATCACTGTTAGCATCCTTTTGCACTTTACCAAACTAAAACAGCGCATAGAAAATAAATACAGCCATTGCTTTCGAAGATGTAAGAGATGTACAAGGCACAGCTCTTTGTGCTGCTGGAGGTCCTCTGTCACACAATACAAAGCATATGCATCACACTAAAGGCAACATATCAAAATTGAAGTCGATCAGGAGTTCAGTGTAAACCGATATGGCAAATCAAAATAAAGGTCAATTACTGCAAACAATATACAACCTTCCTTCACCGACCCAAATAAATCAATGAGCAGAATAAACACAATAGAATAGAAATGCTGCTTTTTCTACAACCAAAGTTCTCATACGACGTACAATACTAACTTGTCAGATAGCTGGTCTTAAGTCCGGGCAGTCGTTAAACAGGTACTTTCTTAAGTGAGGAGTGTTTGTACTTAGGGACCATTGATGGTTCCAGAATTTGGTCATAAAAAAAAATCATTATTTCAAAATAATAAAAAAGGCAGGAAATTATTAAATTATATAAATATAGCATTTCAACATGGATGTCAGTCAAAATGCGCACTTATAGTCTGTTTACATAATCGGGGTAGTTTCTTCCATGATTAACCAAAATAGCTGGTGTTCTGAATGAAGGATTATGACAGGTATCGATCATTGAACCCTTACGGAGGTACCAATGCTGATGCCAGCATTCTTTGCTATTCATGTATACATCTCCTAATGCAAAGATAACATTCTGGCCATTCATGTTCCCTAGCATCTAATTTTGCATCTGGCACAATAATGTGTTGAGCTCTGACAGACCCCCATGAAAAATGACATTCTGATCTCACAATGCATATCTGATAGAAGAGCTTTTCAAAAGATGCTTACCCCTTTCACCTCTTTCAAATCTCCTTTCAACAGACTGTCCAAGGGAAATGTGATAATATTGTTCATATTCTGGAACTAGAAATAACAGATGATCAAGAAAAATTGCATTTTTTACTTTCATTGCTATGTTCTTAAGAAATACATCACAACATTGTCATAATGCTTACGGCCATGAGGTCAAGTTAAAGACGCGGTTCATGTCGACGAAGCCTCACCAGGTTCTTGAACAGGGCAGCAAGCTCCTTGGTGAAAATGGCAAACTTGAGGAAGGCTGAGCCCATAGTGTTATCATCTTTGGTGAGGTAATTTTCCCCTATCTTTTCAAGGGCCTGGGTATACTGCTCTTCGTTTTCCACGTGGGCTGAAACCCAGAATGTCATCACAGTTAGTCTGTCCCAACTCAACTTAACCCACAGGCCTGGAAATTTGCTTGCAGGTAGATGGTAAAACTCCAGCTCAAGAGTAAAAAAATTACTTTAGTTTCCACCTGCATTAAACTGACTGCACAAAGGTTGCTGCCACGACAGTCACTAACAACCTTATGGCCACAGTCTTTGCATAGCTGTTTCAGCAATAGAGTCCAGGAATATAGCCCAGTCGATATGTAGCAGAAGTTCTGTTGGAAAAGTGAATTGAAGATTGCCTGGACAGTAGCTTCTGCTAAACACTCCCTCACTATAGTGCACCCTTAATATACATTATATTGCCAAAAGTAATGGGACACCTGCCTTTACACACACATGAATTTCAATGATATCCTATTCTTAACACATAGGCTTTAATGTGGGGTTGGCCCACCCTTTGCAGCTATAGCAGCTTCAACTCTTGGTTAAGGAGTGTGTTTATGGGAATTTTTGACATTCTTCCAAGAGAGCATTCGTGAGGTCAGGCTGGATGAGAAAGCCTGGCTTGCAGTCTCCGCTCTAATTCATCGCAAAGGTTGTTCTATTGGGTTGAGGTCAGGGGTCATGTTGAAACACAAGTCCAATCCCTCAAAGAAAAAAGAAGAAAAAAAAAAAAACAACCCCACACCATTATCCCCCCTCCACCAAACTTTACACTTGACACAATGAAGTCAAGTAAGTACTGTACCATTCTCCTGGCAACTGCCAAACCCAGACTCGTCCATCGGATTGCCAGACAGAGAAGCGTGATTCGTCACTCCAGAGAACACGTCTCCACTGCTCTAGAGTCCAGTGGCGGCATGCTTTACACCACTGCATCCGAGGCTTTGCACTGCACTTGGTGATGTAAGGCTTGGATTCAGCTGCTCGGCCATGGAAACCCATTCCATGAAGTTCTCTACACACTGTTCTTGAACTAATCTGAAGGTCACACAAAGTTTGGAGGTCTGTAGCTATTGACTCTGCAGACAGCTGGTGACTTCTGCACACTGTGTGCCTCAGCATGCGTTGTCCCTGCTCTGTAATGTTACGTGGCCGACCACTTTGTGGCTGAGTTGCTGTTGTTCTCAATTGCTTCCATTATGTTATAATACCACTAACAGTTTACCGTGGAATAATTTGTAGCAAGGAAATTTCCTGAATGGACTGAATGGAAAGAACTAGGATGCTGGGAGTACGCACGCTACGCTGCTGTTCGTAAGTAGAGGAGCGTCTGTACTACTTTATTTCAGTTACTTTGGCAATATTGTCTTTTTATTCATTTTTAATAGTAATTGAAAAATTTTCAATTTAAATTATATTTCCATTGCTACTTCTGGCAATAGTTGTAGTTGTCATGAAAAATAACCCTGTACCATGCATTGATCATTAACTGCTATTTTGCTACTGCTAACAGCATTGTAAGGAATTGTAGTTTTGATACACATTTCAGATAAGTAATCATATCTCAGCAACATCTCAAAAACCAAAGACCAAATTTTCTGGAGATGTTCATGACATTTTGAGCTAGCTTTCATCAATTTTGACAGGTCATTAGACAGACATTATTTTACATCAGATACTATTCAATTAAATCAATAATGTATATTTTTCCACAATGATTAATGTGAAAGAAAATAAACACCTAACATGTATTTACAGATAGAACATTAAAAAGGACTGTTTTGGAACTCAAAATATTAACTGTACTGGAATTAGTCTATGCACATCTGATAATTAGTAACATTAACTACTCTCATACTTACACAGTCTTAAACTAGTCTTTTTAAATAGTCTTTTTAACAGTGAATTTCCTTGAACTCTAAATATAATTAATCTGAGTAACAAATAAAAAGGGACTGGAAAGAGGTGCGCTGGATTTATAACAGAAGACAAAAAAGCAGTATCATTGTGAAACAAAATGCAGCACAATAATCATTTCACCTTGATTATTTTGCTTTGATAATTGTTGGAAGCTAAAATTGTAATTGAAATTAAAATGTGATGAATTGCCCGGCCCTACGTAGGGGTAGTGATAAATGAGAAGCTATCCTATGCTGAGCACATAACAGTCCTCCCCCAGTTCTGAGGATTCACCCTGTATAACATCAGGAAAATCAGGCCTTGCTTGTCTGACTATGCCGCTCAGTGGCTATAGTAATCCAGGTCCTTGTGATCTTCTGACTAGACTACTGCAACTCTCTACTATCAGGTTTACCAGCTTGTGCTGTCAGATTACTGCAGATGATTCATAATGCGCCAGCATGCCTATTTGTCATATTTGTATGTTGCTTTGGTCAAAATTGTCTGCCAAGTCAAAGTAAATGTAAATGTATTGTGGTGTCAGGTGCACTTATGAACAAACTGTGGCTGCCAGAGAAGTCCAATGACAGAGCACCACATGGGTTTAGATCGGGCAGGACACTCCTCCCAATCACACCCTTGCAGACTACAACGTCATTACCCA